TCAAAATGTCCGCTGTGAAAAAGGACAAACAAATCTATGTGAAATCATACGTATATGGTTTTAAAAAGACAATTGTCGATATGTATGTTGTTTAACTTCCACCCACCCATATAATTTCTCGCTGACCCTGTGCAGGGCCACGGGGTCCCATGATACATTATGTATGACTTTTTTTCCCCACAAATCTGCAGTGCTAGTTAAATCACAGTCAATTATCCTGCTGTGTACTCACACTATAGATTAAAAGCCCAATTCTTATTTATTTATTTTAATCCACAAAGCTAAATTCACCTTTTTATAATTGTCATAATAATAACAACATTCTGTGTGATAGTCATTACAAATTCAAAATATGGGCCAATTTCTGACATTAGAACCAGATCACTTTTAATATATACACAGTATCAGGGACATGACATGTTACTCTATAAAAAGAGGTTGTTTACGTGCATCTATTGATGGTCAGAGCATGTGCAGTATATTCAGTTTGTAGAGTAACATTTGCCAATAAAATGATATGATGTTATTGCTAGCATCAGACAATATTAAGAACTTAATTTAATTTATTTGTTGTCTAGTTGTATATGAAAAGACCTGTAATCAATTTTGCAGTGCAAGCAGTGCTTTGAATTTTGAGGGTAGGGCAGCCATCTTGTTTACATTTAGATCACAACTGTACCTTTAATGTCAGAGATTAATGTGGTCACCGGGTCAGGAATCCGAGCTAACATTCCATCAAAACATCCATCATTAATGCAGTGATAAACAACTCCCCACCAGAAAACAGTTGAAGTGCAGTGCCATTTGTGATTTTACATGAACCAATCGACAGATCTTGACACGATCCCCACTCATTGTCAGTATGTTTGGCAGATAATGGCTGCATTGTTTTATGGATTCATCAGCAAAAGCCAGCACTTGTTCTATTTCTGAAAAACCTTTTATGCCGGTGTTAACCATGCATGGGAGTATTGATGTCAGTGTCTGAGTTGATTGGGTCACTGATAATCAAACACAGGTTAATGCTGTGCGTCATACTTCCCCTCTTGATTTTTATTACGTTACCCTGAATAACCCCTGCAGGAAGACAACACATGACTATACAGCATTCTGATCACAATTTTGTTATATAGAGGAATTTGGATGAATACCGTTTGTTTATAAAATAAAAAACTGACTGTACTCAATGTATGCGACATCATTTTTTATTATTCATTGATAAAAAGGGCTCTTGTGGGATGTTTTTGTGGGTGCATTTCACTAGACTGTTGGACCCTTGACCATATTATTGAAACTGTGCTGCTTCTGAAATTAATCAAGCAATTTTAAAGCCAACAAAATAACACAAAACACCCATTAAATTCTAAACACAGCTCTTATATTAGATACTCACAGTACAATACGTGTAACCAGAAGCTCAACTGAAATTTGTAGGGGGAGACTGACAACATACATTACTGATCACATCATGGGATCACAGTTAATTAACCTGACTATATTTATACCGAAAAATAGGCAGTCAAAATTAACATTAGTCACAATACGACTTTACTGTCCATAGAGGTCTTTAACACCTTTACACAATGCAACATTAAGACCTAGGGTGGGTAGAAACTACAAGTAAAACAAATTAGTTTTTAGGAACAGACCAATAATCTTCTTTTAATTTTGCAATTAATGCACACAGATGTTACAGATGTAACACTTTTACTAATATTTAACTAATTTGTGAAGATCTCTGGCCAGCACACCATAAATGTCGTTAGTAGTGGTATCTTTATCCAAAGATAAGTTAAATGGCTTTTGGTTCCAGCTAATTAAGGTACAGACATTCAATCTTTTTGTCTAACTCTCGACAAGAAATCCAATAAGCATATTTCTTATATATTATATATTTATATTCCTTGAAAAGGCTAAAAGATCACATAAGATGGCATGAAAGCTGAGATTGAATTTGGACCATGAACTGACTAAACAGTTGAATTCAGTAAATTGTGGCTGACAAAATGGTAAATGGTAAATGGA